GCCTAATGGGGTATAATTAGAAAAGCTCACATCGTGTGAACTCTTCGGCCCATGGGAAGCATGTACCCCTTCCAGTGAGAGGTGAGCATGTTGGCTCATGGGTCTTGACAATGAATTAACGGAGCATTCACCGTTAACAGCCATTCAGTCGGTTGAACTGGTAACTAACAAACAAAAAAAAATCAAAATAATGCTTCCAAAACCCGATCTGGAAGCCTCATTCGAACTCCCCACCCATGCTTTCTCATTCGAGCCCTAGCCCTACCCAGTGACTAAACCACCAACGAAACACCTGCATAACTGACATTCGACGGCGTGGAATCAACTTCTTTCTTCTTATTATTTTGTTTGCAAGTTAACTTCTTCTACTTCTTCTTCTTCTTATTATTATTATTTGGAATAATTCCATCATCTCTAAACTTTAAATCGACATTACCCTATTTTTACATGAACAGCAAATAATAAATTCAAATTTTATAATAACGGCATTCTCTGGTGATGATTTTACTTTGTATAATGATCTCAAGAATACATGAGAATGATATTTTTGATATTATATAATGTTTAACTAAATGGACCCAAGTGTCTATTTTTAAAAGTTCAGAGTACTCAAATATTGCAATTGAAAGTTCAAATTATTTATCTTTTACTACCCCAAAGTACAGAATACCTATCTATAATTTATCCATCTCTAATTTTAACATTTCTCTTATTGTGCCTTGTACTTCCTTGATCCTGTGAGGGAGGGCTGGACGGAAGAGTTTCTGTGGAGGTGGAGGTGAAGGTGGGGTATTCGAAGTTGCTGCAGATGGCGAGGCTGCCAGGAGTAGCGGTTGGTGGGGTCACAGAACCCAGACTGTTAACTTCGAGTTTCGTCCCGTGGTCACAATGTCCATTACTTCTACAGATTAAGTATCTCTTATTTTAAGGATTTATCTCTTTTTCGTAGTTAAAAATTTCAAATAGAACCTTAATACTCAGTTGTGGCAACTTCCCAAATAGTCAGGTGCAGGTGGGTCCACGTCCGTTTAAACATTCTTGAATCAGGGGGCAATTCAAGAAATGTCAAATTTCCGTTTCATCTGAAAAGCCACCGAGAAAGAAACGTTTTTTCGACGTTTTTGGGAAAACGACTTTCCAAATGGGATTCTTAATGCAATTCCTTCCTTTTTTGTGATGCAGCGCCAATTTCATATCGGCAGAATCCAATTGCTTGTGAAATTATTCCGTGCCAAACACCCACTTGATGGCTGATGTTGGATATTATCATTTATTAAATCGTATTTAATACAGTCATCAAGTGCAACTAATCCTGACAGCATAGAATTATATGATATTCTGCGCCACACTGAAAACATTTCCGGTACTTGCATGTTGTTGTTATGTGTGTGCGATTGGTGTGAGGAGCGCTATATAAAGAGCAGATCCGGAGGTCTCATACATTAGATACATAATCGAGTGGAAATAGCAGCCAGCAAAAGACGCATATCATGAGATTCAGGAGATCAGCTTCGGTCAGGGACTCAGGGTAAGCCCGTGCTTACACCATCCCAACAGCCACTTGCACTTACATCATATAATTGGCTAATGTGGGCCCAACCTCAGGCCTATTAAGATGGGCCATAGTCCGTTTAGACTATGGACCACATGGGCCAAGAATTAGAGAAATTTGATTATGGGAAATACTACCAATTACTTGTGAAAATAAAAGGCTTAGATCTTTCCAACGCCCATGGATGATGGGCCATAGCCCATTTAAATTAAGACTTGAGAATAGATAATGACGTCGCAATCAAGTTGGTAAGGCATGGGCCATGGGCCACGGCTAGGAGAGATCCGCTTGGAGGAAGTACTACCCTCTAGAGAGTAGAGATTGAATACACCCTTAAAAATCTGGCAGTGAGAACAAATGCTTAGATCTTTCCAATTTATCATTTAAAACGTCTCCAACGCAGAAATCAGTCGTCCATGAATGCTTATGAAAGCAATAACCTACACCATTCGATACGAAAAGAAGCAGTAAATCATTATAAGTGGCAAGAAGTACTGTGGTTCAGGACCTGCACCCATTTGTGAAAATCAGTTTTACCATATTGTAAAATCCAAAAAGCGATCAAGGTAAAAAATCGGTGCTATCAATTAGGGGTGGCCATGAGCCGAGTTTATTACGAGTTATTCGAGTTTTGCTCGTAAAAAATTCAACTCGGCTCAATTTAAATTGAGCTTCGACTCGAACTCAAAACTGATACATAGGCTCATTTGCTAATTGAGTCGAACTCAAGCCTAATAAAACTCGCAAGCCTAATATAATAAATAAATAATTTTTTATTATATTCATACATACATACATATACATATATAAATATATATATATATAATAAATATTTTTTTATTATATATAATGCTTTTATTTTTTATATATAATACTAAATAATTTTTATAATTCTTATTTTATTGTATGTAAAATAAAAAATTATTTTTATATATATAATTTTTATTTAAAAAAAAAACTTGACTTGTAGTTAAACTCGAATAAAGCCTAAGACTATTTCAATGAGCCAAGCTCGAATTTCCAAGCAATGTTCAAAATATCGATACGCCATACGGGCAAATCAATACTGAATTTTGTGCCCTATTTTATTTTTTTCGCAACCAGTTCAAGGGAACCGGTTTAAAACTCCTCCACCCCCCTGAACCGATCAAACCCCTGATTCACCCACTGTAGGGGCGTATCAGAGGAATCCCAAAACGATATATATCAACTTATACAGGCCGATATGTGTCGACACTTAAAACCTTGTAACCAAGTATTTGACTCAACTCGAATCCACCCCTAGATACCATTGCACAAAAATTCATTTTATCGTTTCTTGCGATGGTAATTCTCACATAACCCAAAGTAACTAAAGTATAGATAATAAATATCCATGATGTGGCATATGTTTTCTCAAAATCTCAAAAAATGTCTTTGGGGGTGGGGGAGACCAACCAGCTGGAAGCTGACAATCGCATAAGGTGAGACCTTACAAGGCCTCACATCTGCTCCAAGCCTCCAAATATATTTGTATTTATCATGGGCTGCATATCAATCACTAGTCAACATGCCAGTATTCCATACACTCTACCGTGGTAATCCATGCTGGTTGGTTGGTAAGATCTTCTGTACTTGTAACGGTCACTCAGGGTCCGTTTGGTTTGCAGGAATAAGGGTCTGAAATTGTAATCAGAACAGGTTATTCTAATTCTAACTGTTTAATTGGGCGGACTCGAAATCTCATTTCTATTCATACTGGAATGGCATTCTCCCCTTCGAGGAAATGATCATTCCTTACCCCCTCCCTTAAAAATGAAATCCTATTCCTGCTGATTTTAATTCTCATTCACATTCCTATTTGAACCAAACAAACTATGGGAATGAACCATTCCAATTCCAATTCCAGAGGATTTCAATTTCGATTCCGACTACAAACCAAATGGATCCTTAGAATCGAATCCCGCCACCTGAATTGGGGGATGGACTACCCATTGTGTAGCCGCTTGGAGAAAAAAAAAGCGTGGTAACTCGTGCAGTGTACAGGTTTCAATAAACATTTGGTAGGAATATGATCAAACCTGCGTAGTTGCAGCTTCCCCATGGCAAGGCTGGTGGACCTCACATGCACCCTGCTCTGTCCCCACCCCTAGATCCTTAGTAATGTATTTCATAATACTAAAAAAAAAAAAAAAAAAAACCAAAACAGCCATGACACTAGAAGAGTTTTGACCAATTAAACCCTCCATGATTTATTTTTTTAATACCAAAATGGAGCTGGTCAATCCAATATCATCCATGATCCTTACCCATATTTTACAGGTTTGGAAGCGAAAGCAGCCAAAATGCATGCTTGAAAATTCCAACACTTTTTCTTTATTCAATTCCAAAACCTGACCATGAAGGCCAAATCAATATAAAATGCAAAATATAAGTGTTAAAGGCAACTGCATATGCCACAAAAGATTTTACGAAAACACAAAATCTGTGAGAAAGCAAAACCTTATTTTACCAAAAATAAATATAAAAGAAAAATATGCGACATAATTAAATTTTTAACTAAATAAACTATCTAAGGCTTTATATGAAACCGAGGAAATATCTTTATTTGCATTGCCACCAAGGTAGTTATTGGCTCAATTTTTTGTTCATCCTCCAGATTAATTACCTGTAATAACAAAATAGAGATTTGAAACAAAGAGCAATAGAAAATAAAATTTATATAAGCAAGTTAGACAAAAGATTTTTATTGTATAAGTTTCCGATTGTCCCTCTGCCTATGATTTTTGGGTCTTTTTCTGCAACTGTGTATATGAAGTCTGTATCATCCAAGTAGTGGAAGCATTGGATCCATTTGGTTATTTATGCATACCATACAAAAGATTCATACATGGATTGTGAAAACTCAAAAATGTTTATTTGAAAAGCCCAAAGTTCAATCGCGTCATAGCAGGATCACCAATAATTAACATTAAGGGCGCATTCGGTTTGCAGAAATAGTGGTCTGAAATCAGAATTAGAATAGGTTATTCCGATTCAAATTGTTTGGTTGGATGGAATTGAAATCCCATTCCCATTCTTCTTGGTGAAATAGCATTCTCCCATTTGGGGACCCTCCCTTGATACCTACTCGAACTCGAACAGATTCCAATTTCCATTCTAATTGCTATCTGAACCAAACAGACAAATAGACCATTCTCATTCCGATTCTGACTATAAATTTCAAAATTTATATGCAAGTTTTGATTCCAACCCATTGGTTGGGCGGAATCTGAATCACAACTGAAGGAATGGCCCTTCCCTCCCCACCCTTGGGAATGAGATCTCATTCCAGCTGATTCCAGTTCCGATTTTGATTTCCATATGAATCAAACAGACAAAATCGAGTCAAACGGACCCTTAGATATATGCAATTAACCAACCAATAAAAACCTCTCCAACCGATAAATTAATCATCCATGAATGCTCATAAAAGCAAAAGCCTAAACGATTCAATATGAAAAGGAGCAACAAATCATTATAAGTGGCAAGAAGTAGATCCTGATCAGATGAACAACTACTGTGATTCAACTAAATGTTCAAAGAAAAAATAAAAATAAAGAACAACCTATGTTATTTCTGTAAATTCTGAGAGGACCTGCGCCCATCTGTGATCTGTCATCCGACTAACACGTAGATTGCATATATGATTCCAGGAATATAACCCAATAGTGTGAGCAGCAAGTCGATCCAGAATTCAATCTGCAATTTCAACAACCCCCCAAAAGTACGAAAATCAGAAGGAAACTATAGAAAAGTCTGGACATGCATATTGAATGAAACCGTAAGTAACGGGCAAGGAAGAGTTATTACTCCACAGCCATAACGAAGGAAAACTCCAACGGGTGGTAGAAGTATTGCCAGCACCACTTCTATAAACGTTTCTGATCCCATTCTCTCTTGCTCGCTCTCTCCCTCCCTCTCTCTCTCTCTCTCCGCTGGGAATTTACTTCAATTCTTCTACGTTGGGAAGGAGACGTTACAGATTGGGCCGTGACGGGGGAAAAGAGATGATGGCAGCCAGAGACAGAGAGAGATGGCAATGCATCGATATCTGGGGATGCAGCTGGAGAGGCCACGTAGTGGGGCAAGTGCGACACGTGTCGTGTTCTCATGCAGATGGTTACTTGAACCGTTTCTGTTTGACTAACTTCAACCGAAAAATATGGCCCATGGGCTTTTTTGCTGTGACCAATGGCCTACATACTTGTGTTCCAAAAACAAAGGATTAGAACAACGTGAGTGATATGGATCCTTTTTCTTTACATAAATTCGAACGGGAAAGGTTGTAAAATGGGAATTGGAATATCTTTACTTTATTTTCCCTCTTTTTTTTTATGTGTTTGGATTCGCCTCTCAAAGTTTCATCCCGAGGATAAACGGATAAAGGTGATGGATGCATGGAATCTTCCCTTTTTCCCAAAAACCAAACCGACCAACAATGACGAATACCAAGATACTGTATCGATATAATCAGTGTTTTCGAATTTCCGTTGATCCGGGTGGTTGGATAATTCGATCCTGGAATCCTTCGGGCAACCGTAGAGATGGCAATTTTTTTTATTCCCGATGGGGATTCGATTTTCTCGACCAGATGGGGTCGGGTATTAGGATTATTTTGATGAGACAGAGGTGGGGATAAGGATTAATAGGAATCTTGATCAAGTTTGAAATTAGGGATGGGGATTGAGGTCCCCAACCCTCATTATATATATAATTTATATTATATATATTAAAACTATATCATTATATTATTTATATTATATATTATATTTTTAAAAAAGTATTTATAATTTAAAGTTTTTATTTATTTTAAGTAAATTTATTTTTTAAATAAATATTGTTATCTAAAAAACTTTTGAGAATTTGGGTCCCCATGGGGAATCCATTCCCATCAGGGGTCAGGGGTGGAGGACAAATTTTATCCCCGGCGGGAATCGGGGACGAGGGATGGGTTAATTTCATAATCAGGGTTGGAGACGGGGAATATGATCCTCATCCCATTGCCATTCCTAGGCAACTGGTTTCACTAAGCCTTGGCAAAAAAATCATTAAATTAGTCAAAGATTCATTAACTCGGGTGGTCGAAATGTAAACCCGTTTGACCTTTTCAAGGGTTTTAACCATTTTTTTATTTTTTAAGTAAAACATGTCATCTGTTCAAATTAGATGGTCAAACTGTCGACCCATAAACCGATGGTCAGAACAATTCTGATTTCGGTCATTTTTTAAAACCTTAGATATAATAGTAAATAAAATTGATTGGACGTAGCAGCCTCTCTCTCTCTTTATGCATGTATGCATACTAGAGAGAGAAAAAGAGAGAGAGAGAGAGAAAACGAAAAACAGAACGAGGATTTCACATTTGCCCCCCATAGAGTGATAAAACACGCCCTAACAAGCAAGAACGTCCATCTTAATGTTCATTAAGAACAATTCCCATACTTGTCATTGAGACATATTCTCAATATACGGTTGAAATGTGCTTTGAGACGTTTTTTTGGGTACATTCTATAAGGAGTAGATGTTAAGAAAGAGTGATGTGAAGGACGAACCTCCACTGCGGATGCCTTTAAGAGTCATGAGAATGAAATGAATAGAGCATGCACCGCAACAGGGATATATCATCATTCTATGATTCTAGAAACCCGGTTCAGATTTCTCACCCACAAGAATTCTGCCCACATGATAGTATGATATCCCAGCCACATATGAGAAACATCTGTGCTTGTTTGTTATTCTGTATATAGGAGATATACAAATATAAAGTTTGTTGGTAGTTATTGTGGGTAAAGATCCGGGTCCTATCAACAACCCAACCCAATAACCCATAACCCATATATTATATTCAATTGAGAGGGGAGGGGAGAGCTGGTAATTGTGCGGTGTAGCTGAGGTCCACCGTCCACATGACAAATGTGACATGTGATGATAATGATGGCAACTCATCAATTCTTCCCTACATGTTTTATTAATGCTTTACCTTTCTTGTCCAACCCATCTATTCAAGTTTCAATTTTCAAACAAGAAGTAGAAAAAAGTATTATTAAATAATTAATTTTAAAATTATTAAGGGAGAAAAGGGAAAAAAGATTAATTAAAAGGAACTCCACCCACCATATGATCCCTCCACGTGGATGTGGTGGTGCTTCCCTCGCTTGACGTTTCTCTCGAAAGCGACTTCGTTCGTCGCGCGCGTCCCATCTCCCAGTCAGTCTCATCAGTCCCACCCACAACACAAGTGACAAGTGAAGTGAGCCCAGAGCCCAGAGGAGAGCAAATCTGGAAACAAAAGATGATGGAGATTTGCTTCTGTCTGATGCATTTCCTCCCTTAATCCCTAATCCCTGCTGCCCATCCATCATCACCTACTACTCAAAAACAAAAAGGGTTTTTGAATCAATTCATGATCTGTATGTATCATCTTTAGCGTATAAAAATATCAGACCATACGCGGTCACAAACTTGAAAATTGATGAATCATCGATCCCGTTGTCTGGTCGTTAGATACAGATGGACCAACACCTTCACTTCACCTTGGGCTTGGACCTTGGAGGAGAGAGGAATGGCCAGGGGGTGGTCGATCCTCCATCGAGACCCACCAGTTTTACTTTGTTTGTTTGTCTCGGCCAAACGCCACGTTGTCACTCCACCAGTTCTGATATTTTTCCAACCACATGACACTGGTAGTCGCGCATCAGGGGTGAACCAGAAAAACGAAAAAATCAAATTGAATCGATGGCGTCAATCAGTTAATAAATCGACTTTCATTCGATTTCGATTATCGACTTTCATTCGATTTCGATTATCGATTTTTCAGAAACCGATAATTAGAATTGAGCAAGAAAAATAAAAAAACCGAATTAATCAAAAAAATCGATCGAAACTAAATAAAAAATTGGTTAATCGAATTGATTGGTTGGTTTCGGTTTGATATTTTAAAGAAATTATAGGTACTAATATGATTTCGGTTAACTAAAATAGAAAACCGGTGGTGAATCACGTGACTGGTATAGATATATTTATATATTTTATGTATAATATATATATATATATATATATATATATATATATAATTTTCTATACATAAATATGTATATATATAAATATTTATTTATAATATATAATATATTATTTATTATTTAAAATATAATATTTTATTATATATTTTTATAATATATATTACAAATAATAAAAAACCGATGAATAACCAAACCAATTAACAGATCAGCTTCGATTCAATTTTGGTTTTCAATTTTTCCAAAATCCAACAACCCTGGTTCGATTTAAAAATAAGCCCACAGTTTGGTATTCTATTAACCAAAACCTGGGCACCCCTACCGATAATACCCATTGCAGAATTCTGATTTCTACTACATACTACAGATCTACAATATTTTAAAAGGTCAATTACCCCCACCCTATGCATTAACATCAATTTCCAGCTGATACCTACCCTAACTATACTTTGGACCTATAATTCTGACCCTGGGCTTAACCGTCATTCTCCCTTTCTATTAACCCAACCTTTAAGGCTTGAACCCCTGACTCTGAGTGGTAGTCATGAAATCTTCTGGTGATTGATTCTCCCTCTCCCACAAACTAGGTGATTAATGGCCGAAGATTTCTCCCACTTTATGATGGAACTTGGGAGGGTCACGATTTAATACATAGCCTTCACAAATCACAACCCTCCACTCCCCGTCTCTCCAAAGGGTGATGCTGTGCTTTTCTACAAAGAATATACCCGAGACGGGCCGGGCCTCCATATAGGCTTTATCCATCTGGGGCCCAGGCAGTGGCCCTGATCCCTTCTCGTATGACAAACGTAGAGAACGAAGTAATCGTACGCTGTGCTTTTATTATACGTCCCGCAAATTTAGTTATCTTATAGCTAAAATACTTAAATCACCCTTGAAATCTGTTTTAAATATTGAAATCTCCCCTCTCTCTCTTCAAAATGGACAAAAGAGCTCCCCTCCGTTATCAATCCGTTTCTATCCGCGCGTGTGAATTTTTTGAAAAATCTAACCTTGCCCCTTTCTCAGTTCACTATTCTACATTTGCCAAACTTTGCCCCTTAACGTTAACGAGGAGGAAGAAATTAATAACGCAACCATGGAGGATCTTCCTGCTTTTTGTTTTTACCCAACAGAGATAAAATTGGTTTCATTTTAAACATAGAGGCGAGGTTTCAGCATTTACAGGCAAACCTCAAGGGAGGTTTAAGTCTTTTATCCTTATCTCATCTTATCTATCAAAAGTCAAAACGCCACTTGTCGTCTATCCAGTCCATCGATTTCATTAATCAGATGGTTATAATTGATCCAAGTGTTATCTATTAGTTGGGCCCATCAGAAGGATATTGGTCGACCGAGTGGGAGAGAGAGACCCCAATCGAACTCAAAGTAATTTTCCATACGATGAAGCATGCTGCCCCATGTGCATTCAATTCGTATAGAGAATTAGAAAGAAAGTTAACAAAAAACCACACATAAACAACCAAAGAATTCTGGGAATCAAGCAAATTAAATAAAATAAATAAACCCATCACCTCATTTCATCTGTCTCCACTCGGTAGTCCATTCTTCACTCAAAAACACCAAACCAAACCTCCCAAGTCACCCAACCATCAAAACAAAACACAAACCCAGCATCCTCCTTCCTTCACTTCTCCAAAGAACCATCCTGAGCAACCGAGGATCAGGAAATCTTCAAAGTTCAAACACAGACAGCTATAGGCAGAGAGAGAGAAAGAGAGAGATGAGGGCCAGTAACAGTTTGATCGGAGCCATAAATTTCTTGACGTTTCTACTGTCGATTCCCATACTGGGAGGAGGGATATGGCTGAGCAGCAAGGCCAACACTACCGACTGCATGAGGTTCCTGCAGTGGCCTTTGATCATCATCGGCGTCTCCATCATGGTCATCTCCCTCGCCGGCTTTGCCGGTGCCTGCTACCGTAACACCTTCCTCTTGTGGCTCTACCTCTTTGCCATGTTCTTCATCATCGCCGCCTTGATCGGCTTCGTCATCTTCGCTTACGTCGTCACGGACAAGGGCTCGGGCCGTGTCGTCATGAACCGGGCTTACTTTGATTACTACCTCTCCGACTACTCCGGCTGGCTCCGAGATCGCATCGACGATGACAGCTACTGGGCCAAGATCAGCTCTTGTATCAGGGACTCCAAGGTCTGCGGGAAGATGGTTCGCCAGTATAATGGAGTACCCGAGACTGCTGACATGTTCTATCTCAGAAAGCTCAGCCCTATCCAGGTAACACCAACCAAACCAACTTTTCTTTGTTAATTTTGAACAAGATTTGTGCTGCTTATTCAGGTAAACTCTGAGAATTCTAATACAACTACGATCTGATCATGGGGGCAAGTAATCAAACGCCTCGTTTTCCCCCGATTCCTTTTCGTCTATGGTGATCAAAAAACACGAATCCTTCTTCCTTCTTTTAATCTTTGCAGTTTTTGTTTTCTCCCTCCCTGATTAACAAAGTTTCAGGGGCTCTTGATAATTCGATATGCTCCAGTCGAACTGGCGGGACCGATTAATATTGTTAATAATTCGACTTTCAAGCTGGTCTGGTCCACTGGTAGCCGGGTTTTAGAAGACCACTTCTGGGCGACTGGTCCAGCTCTGGCCCATTAAGTCTAAAGCAAATGAATCCTTGTTATTTGTCAGCTCAATGGATTAATCTAAGCCTCTGACTAATACCCAAAATTGACGAAATTATTCCATTACTGTATGTAGTCCGGTTGCTGCAAGCCACCCACGGAGTGTGGGTACGTGTACTCGAACGAGACCGTGTGGAACCAGGGAGCAGGGTTGATGGGGACAAACTCGGATTGCTTGAAGTGGAGCAACGATCAGGAGCAGCTCTGCTACGCCTGCGACTCGTGCAAGGCGGGTGTGCTGGCAAGCCTGAAGAGGAGCTGGAGGAAGGTCTCGGTGATCAACATTGTGGTGCTCATCATCCTGGTCATCGTCTACATCATCGGCTGCGCCGCCTTCAGAAACAACCGGAGAATCGACAACGACGAGCCTTACGGCATGGCCAGGATGACAAAGGCTCAGCCTAGTAGGATTCACTTCTAATTCTCGCTTCGTCCTTTTTCTTTGTAACTTTCTTGTATGGAGAATGAATAGAATAGATCAATGAGTTCATCAGTTGGATTGGTTCCTCTTTTTTTGCTATGTTCTAAGACCAATTTTTTTTTTTTTTTTTGTCTATAGCTTTGGTTGTTTCTTTGTATGAAGAAATTGAAATTTGATGGGTTTCTGTGATAGTCATTAATTAAAAGTCTCAATTATTCTGTTGTGATGTCGGTGTAAGGAAAAAGGGGAAATTAACGAAAAGCTAGGTAGTAGTTTGGAGGTAGGGAAGCCTTGTTTGACGGACTGGTGTCTCAGGTTCTACAATCATTAACAAGTTAAACATTATTTAATTAGATTTTGTGCCTTTAATTAATTTAGCTTAGTTAGTTTCAATGTTGGATATTAATAGTTAATGGGTGGGCCGTGGGCATCGGGGTCCTCCCTGTTCCCACTTCCCATTTGCTTGCACGTGCAACCTTGAAATGCTCCCGAGTCCCAACAAACAAGAGAATATGGACCTTACTTCTGCTGGCCTGGCCTGGCCTGTTTAGTACCGGGCCGAACCGGAGTGGAACTCGGCTCCGAACTGGTCTGGCGGTTCACCAGTTATCAGCCCTGCCAGCCCTGTCAGCCCACCACACAGAATAACAGAAAATAGCCAACCCGAAGCAAACTATACCAATTGAACTCACATAAAAAGATTTAACTCTCTCATGGGCAGCTCTCCATTACCATTAAACTGCGGCTGTTTGATAAGAGTGAAAGTAGCTAAACTGAATTGTTTTTTCAGTAGATAAAATAATCAAAAAAATTCTATGGTATAGTAATCAATCCGAGTTCAGTTTCATATACTAAACAACTCATAATTTCCTTAAGAATTCACTAATTTGGCTATTATTGGAGATTCACAAAACTCCTTGTCCTTGAATTTGACTTCCATTCTTATTTTCTATCAAATTCCATTACTTCCAACTATTATCAGACCGCCCCTAAGACTTGAATCTTTTGGGATTGGTTCTCCTCGAGATGGTTTACTGTTTTTCCCTTTTCCATGGATCTTCTGGTACTGAGAATCTCCGGGCTCAGAGCTCCTACATCACAGCTCTTATACCTTTTTTTGAAAGTTGAAACCTTAGCCCCAATCAACCCAAAATGATAAATTTTTAATATAAAAAATTGGCTAGCGTTTGAAGCATTCAAGTGAAAGGGATCACGCGAGGTTGGGACTTGGGATAGCTGATCATGTGATTAGATTCACTGCATGATAGCAGATCCAGACTCCCATCTTTTAAAATGGAGGGGTGACTGTTATGGCTCTCTATCTTAAGTTAGGTGCCCTAGATTTAACCCTTACCCTACACTCTTCAAATTTCAAATTTCATTCCGGGAGGGAATGGCCATTCTCTCAGATGAGGGAATGTCATTCCAGCAGGAATATAGGAATGGGGTACCGGTTCCACCCAATCAAACAGTTGGACCATTCCAATTCCAATTTCCAACTCTTGTTCCTGCAAACCAAATGGGCCCATAGTTTTTGTTTTCACCATTTGCAAGCTTAGACCTTTAAGAATCTGAGACATTGGAACGTGTTACTGCCATAAGAAGCTTTTGAAGGAGAGTAGGAGAAAGTCTCTATTTCTCAGGGAATTTGGAGCTCCATTCTGCTTTAGTTTAGACCAAGATTCAAAGTATCAACACGTATCTGCCTACACTGACTGATATGTATCATTCTGGGACCTCCTTAATACCCCCCTACAGTGGGTGTATTGGAGTTCTGACCAGTTCAGGGGGTGGCGGAGCCTTAACCCGCCCCCCCCTCCCCCCCTGAACTGGTTTTGAAAAACAAATAAAAAAAGTAAAAAAAAAAAATTATCAATATCGCCCGATACGAATCTATATTTTGAACCTCGGTTTAGATATGTCCTTAATCGGTCCTTCCTGCAGTGGGGTTGTACATAATTTGGAATGTGAAATTGTATTTGCAAATAGAATGAGAGAGGCAAAGCTTATTAATAATATTAAGAGGAAGAAAGTAGTAAGTATTAAATACATGATGAGTGACAGGTGCCACCTTCACTGGTTGGAGACATGACAATCCCCATAACCATTTATTTATTTTTGATTGATAATTAAGAGTCCCGCAGGAGTTGAAGCCTTGGAGCACCGCTGTTACATAACGGTAGTCAAAATAAAGACAAATGCAACCTGTAAGGGCACCACCATTCACCGACCCGACCCTACATCCATAAACCATAATAATGCTGAGTCTGTCCACAGGCTCTCTCGCCATGTGGTACGTCCAAATAGCCATGCTTTCAGCAGTAGTATTACTGTTGCATGGAGCTCTACATGAAATGAGAGGACTAAAGTCTCATGCAGGACAAGAGCTCTAGCCTCTACGGACAGAACATGCAGTCCGAGTCTCCCACGCCCTTCACCAACAAGAATACATTTGCCATGGATTCGTCCGATCTGGCATGGATTTTTTTTCCCTCTTTTTCGCAATCAAGAGATTTCATTAACAGAACAAAGCAAGACAAAACAGGATACAAATATCAAGAGACCCCTAAGAGGCTTTTGACCCAGGAAGGAAAATTGCCAAAGAACCCCCAACCCCACCCACCTCCCCCCCTGTCCCACAAACCTCTTGGGGCTACACTATGTGCAACAGAATTACCACCCCTGTTCACAAAATCAGAATGTCTACACTTTGACACTAAAGCGACAATTGCCACAAACCTTTTGACCCGAGCCACAATTCTTGATTACTGCCTGAATGAGAATTTAGTGCCAGGGCCTCGGCTTCGAAAGGATTCAGTGCAGAAATAGAACCAAAAGAAATTGAATCTGGCATAAATATTTGCCAAAGGACTTTGTCAGATCAAGGAATCCATCCAGACAGTATGTATGTTCACTTTGGAGCCTGGTCTTTACTCTTTTTTGCCTCCCAATAGCCAATGGGTTGTCTCCACCTCCGAAGAGATGGATATCACACAAACAAATCCCGAATCAAATCACAGCTATTGCTGAGAGTCTGAGACATAAAAGTATGTTTCTCTCCTTGGGTAGGTAGAATGAATATAGTGGGGCGAGCTCATTATTGTTTCAAAGGCGGATAAATGAAAACAAGGTCAAGGTGTAACCCCTCTTATAATTCAATAAATTCTCGAGCCAGTGGTTTGTGTGTAGGGAACCGCAATTTAGATAACACAAGGAGAGGGAGAGCAATCCATCCGGTCAAAACAAGTGCCTTGCTGACAAATCGTACCAGTACCACTCTTGTTTTGATCAGAACAATGAATGGGCTTGGGGGAGACACCCCAAAGTCTGACAAGCGCTAGAGGGAGCTTGTCATTGTGGGTACCACCTACCATAGATGTCTTCATGTTTTTCTTCATTTCTTCTAGAATTTTAACTTTTCCAGTTTTTCTTTTTCTTCTTCTGGATCTGCATTATGCCTTTGTCCATTATCTTGGGCAATTTCTTCTTGGTATTTCACATCTCCCACCCTCATTTTTGCGTTATTGTTGCAAGCTCTAGAAACCATCCTACAGACGCTGCACATAAACAAGAATCTTCAAACATTATAGATTCCGATAGTGAAATTTTACAAAATTTTCATTAATTAACAATTGTGAAGGACTCTTTCAAGCAAAATAGAGTGAAAATAATAAAACACAAATTTTCCTATGATCATGAATCACTATAGGTTTGATGGTGAACTTGCAGAAATAAAATGTACGTTAGATCACAAAACTGCAGCTCATCCCCCAATCTAGTTCACTACATGAGTGACATCAGATAAACTTTCCATCACATAGAGATGAATAGATGACAAACAATGAGAACAAAGAAATGAAGTGGCAGTGGCATTTAACTAGATCAAATAAATTCCTCAAACGAGTTGAATTAAGACGGGAATGAAGAGGCAAGTGATTTCTGAACATTCTTAATGACCCCAAATTTGGAGAATAGATGTGTTTGAGCAAGTTATAGAATTGTGGAGCTAGAGCTGTGAGTAGGAGTGCAACTTGGGCAGGCCCAACCCGAGCCCAGACCGACCCAACCCACAATTTTATATGAGCTGGGCTTAAATTTTAAGTCCTCGGGCTCAAAAGTTTGGACTTTTAAAATTTTCAGGAAAGCCTGAACCTTGCCCAGTCCCAGCCCAACCTTATCCCAGCCTGAGCCCTGCCCGATTATAAACATGTATATGTGCATATGTAAAAACACATATTTGCATGCAAATATGCATATATATGCATGATCCCCTCCCCCCTCGGGCTTTATAAAGCTGAATTTTGATGGCAGCAGCGTAAGGAATCCAGGGCCCTCTGGGATTGGAGGAATTTTCAGGAATGAGGAAGGGATTGTTACTGCTTTATTCTCTGGCCCTATTGGAGAAGGTGACTCTCTTAGGGCTGAGATCCTTGCAGCGCTTGAAGGTATTCGAAGAGCAAAGGAATTAAATATTAGCCGCTTGATTCTGGAAGGTGATTTGAAGGTGGTGGTTAGTTGGTTGAAGACAGAGGACAGTGGTTTGTGGAACTTTAACAATGAAAAAAACAGTTCTTATGGCTGGGTAGGGACATTGAGATTCAGTACAGCTGGGTGAAAAGGAGTGCCAACTCATTTGCGGATGGGTTGGCCAAGCAAGGAGYGAATAGGGAGGCTGTTTTTTGGGCTAGTTTTTAATATTTTTCTTTGCATTCCCTGTGTTTTCTGTTTTTGGGGAGCTAAGTTATTTTATCTCCCCCTTTGTATACTTATTCCCTCTCTTCTCTTAATTTAATAAAAACGATGTTTTTGATAAAAAAAAATGCATATATATGCATGTTTTTCTGATAAAATATACATATATGCATACATGCATACATATTACACACATGTATATCAATTTTTAATGTGGGCTAATTGACCAACCTAAGCCTGACCAGGGGCCGAGCCCAACCCGAGTACATCAAATTTTAGTGCGGGCTGGGCTCTTGGGCTCGTGCTGAATAATTCATGCTTGACCTCGGGCTTGGGCTTTATTCCCAATTCTTAGGGTTGGAGTTCCAGACTTAACAACCCTCAAAGTTTTGGATCGTCTCTAGAATGCATATGCACATACCAAATCATGTCTTCAACCTGTGATTGAACTGGCCAGTTAGATTAGTCAACCCATCACCCAGCCAGGTTTCTAGGTCTATTTAGCTCCCAAATCATTTACTTGACGCAGCTGGTTGAACACTACTGAACAATCACTGATTAGACATTAATCATCTTTTCTGGTTTTTTTTTTTTTGTATTTTAGCCATTTCCATCATCATTAATAACAATTATTCTCATTTATCACAATTATTTTTTGTTTAATATGATGAACATATAATATTTGAGACATGCAGCACATGCCCAATTTTCTATACTTTCTAATATTTTTTCTGTAATTTATCTATTCTATATATTTATTATTTAACTTATAATGTCACAGGTTAACTCATTTGACCCAGATAATTAAACCATTGACTGCCATCTCGATGGAAAAACAGTTCGATGAGTTGGCTGTCATAACATTGTGTCGTATAGGTATCCAGGTACCATAGTATATCTATTAGCATTTATTTCTTTCCTTTTTCTCCTTTCCGGTTTTAACAAAGAGCAAAAAGGAAATTGCAATTTATTAAGATAGTTGCATGTCTAGTTCTATGGGGGATATTTTGATTGGATTGTTTGGTGACGAGGTGAATGGCCCAGTCACCCCATTTATATTGTTTTCCAATTAATTATAGTATTCTTGATAATTACATCAAAATATAATAATAATATTTTTTGTTGGATAATAACTTGCTTTTTTATGAAAAGAAAAGGAACATATATAGGTCTGATGTTTTGACTATGACCAGGTCTTTTTACTTTGAGAATTGATCATGTTTTTGTCTCATGAACAGTGAGTGATTCTTGCCACTAAGATGTGATGTGTAGTCAGTCTGCATATTCTTCATTAAGTTAGCGTATAATGTTTCAGAGTCACAATGTGTTTGATAGTGAACTTGCAAAATAGCACAAACAGTTACAAGCAAGTTCAACCATGAAACAGCAACATAAGTTTCGCCAGATAAACATGAAGCATTAGCAAAGTAACACTTTGTTAGATCAAATAAAATTTTTCAAACATATTCTTTGTAGCAAGAATAAAAAGACAGATAATTAAAAGTCTTACCCAGTTCTTTTATTTATTGTCTTCTCCTCACGACATTGCTCTGGATTCCATCTTGTGATCGTATATTCCTCAACATTGCATTTTTCCAAACATAAAGGGGAAACTGCAAGGTAACCATCACTTCTATTGATCCTAAGAACTAACAATGTCTTCACAACACTGCCGCATAACCGAACCATGCATTTAAGATCAGACCACACATTCAGCCGGCCATTCACATCATCACTGCCTTCTGATAGAACAAGGATGGCATATTCTGAATGCACCAAAGCTGGATGGTAGTGGTAAGCAACAAAATCTACACCATACTGAAAACCTGAACGCACAACCCAATTCTTATCACGTAGATGGGAGTAAGCTTTATAGAAATAAGGAAATGCAGGTTTCTTGGATATTATATACTGCCATATTTCATCTTCATTTTTCAAACGCTTATCTTCCCCTGCAATCTCAAGACATCTGAGAGAGTGGAAGAGGTAAAAAGACTCTTCCAGACTCAACTCAAACCATTGCTTATCTTTCTCAGCTGTGATGATGGGTTGACCAAAACATGCACGGATCAGCAAATCCATACAATCAGCCCCTGCTCCAAGAAGTACACTACAACCCAAGAGCAAGCCACGTGTCTTGGAATGAATTAGACATGATTGAAGTTGTTGGACAATTTCTGACATGGGTTCTGCAAGAGCTCGAGCTTCTGAATCTTTCCCCTTCCATCTTGGTCCCATAATTTTCTTCTTCACAGATTATGAAAGAAGCCGTGTGGTTACTAGGCAACAGAACATCGAATATGATGACATCAAAATCAATATTAAAAATCAAGATGCATGAGAATGTGTGTGTGTGTGTCCATTAAATAATAAAAGAAAAGTAAAGGACACGGTGGTGCTAGAGATAAATTAAATTAAGTGTTCTAGATCACCCAGGAATTTTCCATGTGATAGATTAGATGCAACATGAGTTTTGTCCAATAAGCCCCAGCGTTTTTCTTGTTTAGACATGAAGGTACGTCAATAACGCTAATACAAGACATGTGCAACACTGAAAACTAAGGTTACACCGGAAAAACGGTATCATCTACTCTCAACATCAACCAGGTTGTTGAGCAACAAGGAGAAGTCAGCCTTGCCAAGCAGCACTGCCTTGGTCTCGGTTACCTAGATTAGGCTTGTGACACCTATTTCAGGAAAAGAAGAAGAAAGGGTCTGGGGTTGCTACTTGCTATATGGAAAATAAGAAGAAAGAAGAAACGACAGTGTGATGGCTTTTTTTTGACATAAATCACATAGAGGGAAGACTAGGTTGTTTTTTTTTTCACCTTCCACTTCCTTGTATTTGGCACAAAAGGTAGACTGGAACTAGAGCTTTCTTCTATTCTATCGGTTCTCATAACAAACAATTAGAATGCAACGATTTATCTGTATGGGAACCATATTTGACTTTCGTGGAAGTCAGATGAATAAACCAAATGATGATGAAAGAATAGTTAATGGCTTAATGCAGTCAAACTGTAATAAACGTTTGGCGGATAATTAGAACAAACCAGTTAATGCATGTGGAGAATTATAGAACAACCGAAATCAATATACAATATAAGATGATAAATCACTAACAAACCTGGACCCTTGATGAATAAGAGGGATACTCGATCACCAAACAAGGAATGCCCAAAATTACCAATTTAATGAACACCAACAATCTCACATTCTCACTAATGACCATCGACTCACAGGGGTCTCAGCCAGTGAAAGCCGAAGACACCATCTTGGCCAACCAAAATATCATCCTTTACGGAAATGTAGGCCTGTAATCGGATTGAACTCTGATTGGATGTACATAAATCCAGGTTTGATTCGAGAATGAAAACCCTCCATCCGAATTTAATCCGAACTCCCATCGGATGCATGAGAGACCATTCTGAGTTCAAGTTCGATCGGATGTATCGGTTTTCGGATTTCATCCAAGTTCAGTATTAGACAAAAAAAAAACAATGAGAATGTTATGGTCCCGCGCATAGGATCTCATCACGGGTCGGTCCACCGGGAGAGCCTCCTGTCTTCCCTTGCCCTTGGCCTTGCATACAGACCCTATTGTGGCAATCGCGTGGGTGATTTGTCCAAGAGATCACCCGAACTCTCCTAATGGGTGATTTGTCCAAGAGACCACCCGAACTCTCCTCACTCTCTTTCTTGACTGGGAAAACTGAATGCCTTTATTTCAATTTGTGGCTCCTTAAATAGGAGATTACAAGAGGAGACATTCGACTAAGCTAGGACAATCCAACTTTAAATCAAACTCCTACTTCTAACAGACTTCTAACAGCACTCAGTTCTTATCTCTAATAGATAAGAACAGAACTCCTACTAAGAAGATAAAATAAGATGAGATGAGGATAAGGGATGAGGAATGGAGTAGCTGGCGGCGAGTTGGCGAGCAGAGCTGACGTGGTTAGATAAGTGCGGACCCACCCTAATGAGTTGTCGTGTGGGTCCTGCCTACTGCTGCTGCCGGGCGTCTCACAGTGCTGTTGCCGTGTGGTGCGTGTTGCTGTCGTGCGGTGCGTGCTGCTGCCGTGCGGCGCGTGCTGCTGCTCAATGCGTGCTGCCGCCCAGTGCTGCTGTCGTGCGGCGCGTGCTACTGCCAGGCGGTGCGTGCGGCGCGCTACCGGGCGGTGCATGCTGCTGGGCGGCCCGCTGTGCGTGCTGCTGCCTATGACTGCGCCGCATTGCGCTGCCGGGTGGTGTGTCCATAACAGAGAAGAAAAACAAAAACCGAACCAGAACTAAACCCTTGAAATACAAAGTAGAAATCAAGACCCTAGAAAGAGAGGGGGAAAAAAGAAGAGAGAGATGTATACGTTAATGGTCAAAACTCAACGAGAAAATGACAATATAGAAGTGGCTAGTGCAAGCAAAACAAGGCGGAGGGATTAGGAAATCAGAAATCAAAAGATGTAAAACAATAACAATAATAAAGCTCACCTTTGCCGAGAAGAAAGAAGCGCTCATGTCAAGGGAGAGGTGAAACTCTCCATATGTGAAACCAAAGCAAAGAAACGTTAGCCTCTGCATTTAAGAACATTGAAATAGACCAGGAAAAACATTGTAGAGTGAGCTACTGAGCAAGAAAAATCGAAAAATCGACCGAAATCAAACCGAAAATCCAGTTAATCAAATCGGTTGATTCGACATATTAAAAAAAGGTAAATTAGAAAGACCCCTATACTGTGGGGTCTGTGACAAAGACCCCCTGTACTTTGTTTTGCAACAAAGACCCCTTGTACTATGACTGTGAGACAAAGACCCCTTCCGTTAGCTTTGCATTCAAATCCGTCGTTATAATATTTTTAAATCCCCACACTACCTTATAAGAAACACACTGTTCATCTTCCCCAACCTCACGATACACAAACAGCAGATTCCTTCTCTCCCCTTCTCTTTCCTCTCTCTCCCCCGATCTCTCTTCTTCCCCTTCCCCTTTCTCTCCTCCCCTCTCTCTACACTAACAAGATGTCGACGAATCCCTCTGACGGTGGCACACACATACTAGTATTTCCTTTTCCTACGCCTACCACTTCTGTATCTCACCCACCAATTGGCCATTCGTAGCTTAACCATCACCATACTCATCACACCCAACAACCTCCCCTTTCTACATCCTCTTCTCTCCAAACACCCTTCCATCCAAACCCTCGTTTTCCCTTTCCACCATCACCCATCTCTTCCCCCGGCGTTGAGAACGTCAAGGACATCGGAAACCGTGGCAATACTCCCACCATATGCGCCCTTTCTGCACTTTCCAATCCCATCACCCAGTGGAATACTCACCCTTCCCCACCCGTAGCCAACCTCTCTGATTTCTTCCTCGGTTGGACCCAGCACCTCTCTCGTCGCCTGGGTGTACCCCAGATTGCCTTCTACTCCTCCGACACATTTTTAGCCTCCATTCTCAACGTTCTTGTTCGAAACTCGGAACTCTACATCCCTCCACATCTCCCATCTCCTTCCCCAGCCTCCCACATTCCCCTTCCTTTCCTTACAACCACCTTCCCTCTATAATCCGTCTTTACAGGGAATCGAATCCCGACTGGAAAATCGTCAAGGATGGCATGATCGCAAATTCCTCGATGGCAGATCGTCAAGAATGGCAAATCTACAGGGATGCATTTTGAACACATTCGATGCGCTGGAGGGCGTGTATCTAGATCACCTGAAGAAGGAAATGGGTCACCACCGTGTTTAGGGTGTGGGCCCTCTGGCTATGATGAAGGGTGCTAGTGCTGGTGTTGGATCTGATGAACGAAGTGGGCTCAGTACGGTGTCACCTATTGTTGGGTGTGGGTCCAGCCCATATGGAGGGGCCCACCCCACCTTCATTTGCTCCCTAAAGAAAAGGGAATCGAATAGTGGTAAAGTGGTTACCACATTTTCGATTTGTGTTTTTTTGAGTGGCATCAAACTAGTAACCACCGAACAGAGAAGAACGAAGAAGAAAGAAAAAAATATATACAGAACCAAAAAAGAAAGTTATTTTCTGGTTCTTTGAGTTTTGTGAAGAAGAGGAAAAAGCTGGCTCTGGTTCCATTCAAGATCAAGTTCAGAAGTGCCTTTCAAGCCCGTTCTTGATTATATTAAGTGCTGGAGTTAAGAATCCCACTCCAGTTCAGATTTGGTGATTCTTCTTCTTTTTCTCTACTTCTCAGTTCAGATTTACAGCAACTTGGTGAGATCTAAACTTATGTTTGTGTTGTATCCACCTTGCATTTGGTGATGTTAATGTTGTTCTTGTGAGCCAAGGATTATTTCCTTGATGTTTGTAAGCCTCTAGCTGCAACTAGAGAAGACTATTGTACCCATTAATTTCTGAATTAGTGAAAGACTTACGGACCATAGGTCCCGTGGTTTTTCCCCCATTTTGAGGTTTTCCACGTAAAAATTCCGGTGTGCTATTGTGTGGTGATTGTTATCTGTTTTTCTGTTGCTTGGCTGAATTGTTTACATATTATTGTTGTTGGCAAACCCATTTTGACACAAATTTGGGGGAAAGGTTCTTGCTGTCCTGGGATTGATTTTACATTCATTTATGCTACTATAATGTAACTTACCCAACAGTGGTATCAGAGCCAGGTTGGCTGAAATTAATTGTTTGTGTTGATACAAATGGAGGAATCCTCGGGTGTTATGATAAAATTGACTTCACCGAATTATGCCATTTGGAAACCCAGAATGGAGGACATTCTTTATTGCAAAGATTTCTACCTACCCATAAGAGGTGATGAAGTAAAGCCAAGTGACAAGTCAAGTGATGAATGGGGAATCATGCATAGAAAAACCGTAGGCCAAATCCGACAGTGGATCAACCACAGTATTTTTCACCATGTTGCACAAGAAATTAGGGCTGATGTTTTATGGAAAAAATTAGAGTTTATATATGAAAGGAAAACAGGTTTAAACAAGGCTGCCTTGACTAGAAAACTAACATACTTGAGATATAAAGATGGGACTAATATGTCTGAACATTTGAGTGATTTTCAAGTTTTGATAAATCAATTGACTACTATGAAATTAAATCTGGATGATGAAGTGTAGGCCTTATTGTTACTTAGTTCCTTGCCTGACAGTTGGGAAATTTTGGTTAGTAATTCAGCCCCTAATGATATAGGAAGGCAAGAAAGAAGGAAAAGATACAACAGTTGTTGCAGCCGAGGGTGATGTTGTTATTGTTTGTGATGATAATTATGTCAACTTTGCATGCCCAAACAGTGATTGGGTCATTGATTCGGGTGCTTCTTTTCATGTTACTCCCCATGATAAATTTTTCACAACTTACACTACAGGTGATCTTGGACATGTTCACATGGGGAATGCTGGTACATCCAAGATTGTTGGCATGGGAGACTTTTGTTTAGATAGCAATACTGGTTGCAAATTAATTTTGAAGAATGTTAGACATGTTCCTGATATCCGCCTAAATCTGATTTCCACTGGCAGGTTAGATGATGAAGGTTATGCAAATACCTTCAATGATGGAAAATGGAAACTTAGTTGGGGCTCAGTCATTGTGGCAAAGGGAAAGAAGCACAATGCCCTTTATGTGATGCAAACAAGGTTGAGCAAATGAGAGGTGAATGCAGTTCATGATTCATCCATTGAGCTTTGGCACCGGAGGCTTGGACATTTGAGTGAAAAAGGGATTCAGATACTTTCCAGAGAAAATCTTCTTCCTAATGTGAAAGGTATGCCTCTTGAAACACGTGTACATTGCTTAGCTGGCAAACAGAGTAGAGTTGCATTTCATAAATTTCCTCCATCTAGAAAGTCTCATGTTTTAGATTTAGTTCACACTGATGTTTGTTACATGAAAGATAGATCTCTTGGTGGTGCATTATATTTTGTGACATTTATTGATGACCATTCCAGAAAAGTGTGGACATTTGCCTTGAAATCTAAGGATCATGTGTTGGATGTTTTCAAGTATTTTCATGCCAAGGTTGAGAGAGAAACAGGGAATAAGTTGAAGTGTATCCGAGCTGATAATGGTGGTGAATATAGGGGTCCTTTTGAAGAATATTGTAGGATCCATGGTATCAGGCTTGAGAAAAGTGTTCCTAAGACTCCTCAACACAATGGAGTAGCAAAGAGAATGAACAGAACAATTACTGACAAAATCAGATGCATGCTCTCTCATGCTAAGTTACCCAAATCCTTTTGGGGTGAGGCTATGAGAACTACAGTTGACCTCATCAACCTTTATCCTTCAGTTCCTTTGAATGGAGATACTCCTGAAAGAGTTTGGACAGGGAAAGCCATATCATACAGTCATTTGAAAGTGTTTGGCTGCAGGGCATTTGTTCATATTCCTAGAGATGAAATATCCAAGTTTGATGACAAGGCTAAACAGTGCATCTTCTTAGGCTATGGGCACAAAAAGTTTTGGTACAGGTTATAGGATCCAGTGGAAAAGAAAGTAATCAGAAGCAGAGATGTTGTATTTCTTGAAGATCAAACAATTGAAGATATAGAGAAAATTTAGAAGCCAAAATTCTCT